GGAGGCCTTCCATAAACACGGTCACTGTTACCGCCTCCGGGAGAGAAATCTGCTGCCATCCCGGCAATGAGAGTTCGCATCTCTTGGACAAAATTCACCAATTCCTTGTTTCCCTGTCGGGCGGCAAGGAAATGTGATAGCACGCGATATGCCTGATTAGGCGACGAGAACACTAGTGAGAGGTGCAATATCAGCACCCTCCAGGAGGGAAACGCAGCTTCGACCGAAGTACCGCACATCAGTACCCATTCTCGCGCTCGACCACCGAGCTTTGAGATGGCTAGCGCCACGCGCTGTTGCTCGATCTAGAGCATAGTGGATGTGATGGCCATCTCGACCTCTCATACAGGGTAGGAGTTTCTCTCCATCCTTCCCCTCAAAGACCTTAGCGCTCACCATGAGTGGCTTGGGTCGGGGGAAGTCATCCGTCACCGACGGAGGCGTCATAGACGCAAACGGTGCAGACATCTTCTGTTGCAGGTGCTCTAACAGTGCGTTTTCGTAACTCAAAATCACCTCTAGACGCGCACCAATCGCCTCGGGGCCTTGTGCCATAAGGCGTTGCACGCCTTCAGGGCCAAGCAAGGACATCAGCTTATTAAGCCCGTCCTGCATGTCCTGGGGCAGAGAGGAAAAAATTTCCATCCTCTCAGAGGATCCGCCGAAACGACTCAGGTGTAGATTGACTACAAGTGCTACCAAGTGCAGCGGGGCTGCCGTAGATTTGCGCGTGAGGAAGCGTCTTAAGGTCACTGACCTTTCGTAATTAACAAGAACCAAGTACTAGTGCAGCGGATCGAAATCCGCTGCCTCTCAAAGTACTTAAAAGCCTTACCAAGGCAAACGAATAGTTCTATTCAGAATCGAAACTGATTTTTATTTATATGTTTACCCTAATTCTAAATGTTTAGATTTTCCTAAATAAACTATATGTATATAGCAAAATATATATATGCATAACTACTGGCTACCTAGCCACATAACTTTTTCTTGTTTGGATGCAGTCACACCATGCACATCTTGTGTGACACGTACCCTGGTTACAGCCCAGGCCAACCCCGAATTTGGTGATGTGATTAAGGTTTTGCTAATCTGCTAAATTTGGCAACTCTGATCTTGAGGACAGGTATTCGAGCACTTTGTGCACCTTTTTTAACGATAAATTCATAATTTGATCATGGGAAAGTCTGCAAGTCCTGCTAAGTGCGATGTGGCTGCGGTATACTTTGCACAGTGAATGCTTGGCTCTTAAAGCCAAGATTGACAAATGTACAGAGGATGATTTGAGGCCTTTAGCCAGGAGCGGAATCAGCAGAGCTAGATATTTGTTATCTCTGCTATATACAGAATACACATGTTTTAATTGATGCTACCCAGACCAATGCAAATCGATGGGTTTATTTTTCATAATAGGTCTATCTTCACCTTCTGCAGTAATCACCTCCAGCGTATGTCTCACCGGTGTTTCCTGTTTAGACAGGCAGTTGTGGTTTTGTACGCCAGCCAAAGTAGTACGTATTCAAGGGCGCAAAAAAGGCGCATAAGTCTAGTAAGAAATTCAGAGAATATTTGGTAGTATTGTATCCAGGCTTTGAGGTCGCACAGCGAACTCAGGACCTTTGATATATTAACTTTGCATTTTGCCTTCTAGTGCTCACCTCAATCTTTCCATAGCTGGCGATGGCTGAAGTAAAGCTGATTGGAATGATTGAGCTCAAAAAGGATTTCAATTGGCACTTCGCCAAGCTCCACGAGACCAAATTGCTACGTTTCGTGAGATTCGTGCTTACAATACACAACAATGCATGTGCTAGTAGTCTACGTGTTCCAAGGACTCATATTTTATAAATACTACAGCACTTGTGAATTTATGAATACACTAAATTGCAATGTGAATTTTGTATAATTGATGATAATTATTTACTACAAGTTTGATTACCCCGTGACAACAAACCCAGATTATAGATAGGCGTCTCAGCTGATATCAAATCGAGGAGAAGAAGACCAGCGCATGCGATCCAGAATAATATGTCGCAGATTGCAGACTCAGACACATGCAAGGTGCAATTGAATTTTTAGATATGCGCGATCAGATATGGCAGGGTCTCAATTGGGATGATCTAGACATTGACAATAGAGTTGCTAATACTCTGTAAAGGTCGTCCTGCCGCTTCAATCGAGAGAGCGATATCACGAGCACAAGATAGGATTAAGATTCCTCTATCTTCCAATCGTACCTTGAAGTTCAAACAGTAGAGGACTTCCTGAAAATAACTGGATAGAATTTGCCAAGAGAATGATATTTTGTACATTTGACAAATTTCTGATGCCGCATGCATTTTTACTAAGATCGTACGATCGTTGCTTTATCCTTTGGGATCTTGTGTACCCTCTGATTATCTTGGAGCTTTGTCGACGGATCTTTGATAAGAAGAAAAAGCTTCATGGCCCAACTTTATAGCTCCATTCATAAGTGTATAACTTAGCAAGATTGATGCCAAACCCACAAAGAAAGCATAAGTTAGTGCGAAAATTAAATGGTCACTTAATCTATTATATTCATTTTCTTCTCCAGGTAATGTGTAAACGAAATTTGCTTGCACATCTTAGCATCATTTCTTTCGACAATTACTATTCATTCGATGCGTCTCGACCAAGTTACACTATTGATTGCAGCTGCAATATTCGTTCGTAGCACTGACTCCAAGCAAAATGTCAGGGCTGTGATCAGCTTTAAGGATATCCCTAAGGTATAGGTCCTCGAGGGTGAAAAACGATTTAAAACTGCAGGAGATTTTTTTGCGGGTAAAACGGAATGGGAAGATCAAGTGCTCAAGGCTTTGGAATCTAGGTTTCCATCGAAGATACCTAAAGAGGGCGAAGAGAAAGTAGATCGGTTTGCAGAACTTTTGGCTTTGATAAATAAGCAAGTCGAGAAGGAACATACCTCAAACGAACCAGAAGTTGACTAGTACAATTAGAGAGGTCAAGATAGTCACGTCGCTTAAAAACATAATTTTTGCAACAATGTTCTTTCATTGATCTTTGACGTAGTTTGGTCATTTTGCTTTCCCTTTTAATGGTCTTTGACGTTTATGTATGTGTTTCTCACATTTATGCCTCCACATCTTGTCTTTCAGGCTTCACAGGAAATACCTTCCTATATACCGCAGCCGACCCCGCTCTTGACGTAACAACGCAACTATCGAAATCCCCTTATCATTTACAACTCCATTCTGATTGTGGCTCTTACGTCGTACAATATGCAGCGCCTAAACACGATAATAGTATGCGTGAAGTACCAAACGACCACAAAAGAGTTGATCGATCGCGTGCGTGGTAGATAGCGTTTAAGTCGCTCAAATTCTGACCTCACATTCCAACTGAAAGAAAGCACGATGTAGATGATGTGATTAATCTCTGGTGTAATTACAGTCAGAGTAAACCTTGTAGGTTATGATTCCATCCTACTTGTGCTTGACCACTTCAGAATGCACATAAATCGGAAGCAAGATTATGGAATGTAAAGCTAAACGGAATGAAAATGGTCATTATCCGCTACCATGTTTTGCGTTTTTCTTGACACAACTCGCGTCCTATGTGGTAAGCAATAATGATATGATGTAGTCGGTTAATCTTGGTGAGAACATTTTCGTTCTGTTTGAGTGGTGTGCCTGCCTTAATACAGAAGAACACGTTGTGGTGGGTAGCTTGCGCTGCGTACTCATGTTCGACGTTACATAGTATTCATACGTGGAGCTCAAACATATTTGAAACTTTGGCCAAGTTGGCAATGTTTGTATAGTAAGCGGACTGACCTTTTTTATTATATACATGCAATCAAAGAAGTGAGGACGGCTTTACTTCAATGGAGTCGCGTACAAAGCTGATCGTTCAGCCAGAGAAAGCTCGCATTTCCGCTAGCATTTCCCGTTGTTGTGCTTGGATCTTTTCATTGCTCTGGGCTACCGATATGAGTCATCAAGTTGGTTACTAAGCTTCACTTGATTGCAAATCTCCCAATCAAGAAAGGTCTCTACAAACGGCGTCCAGATGCGCTTCAAACGCGGTGCTTTCTATCTGGTCTGGTGATATACCGTGCTGGAAACAACATTAAGAGATCTATCCTATTGGTTGTTCTTGTCTAACTCTTGTTAGTGTTCAACTTATGGCGTTGGCAGACACCATTTAATTGCAGTCGAATGTTCTACATTCAAAACTATGCGCGGGCTCAATGAAACCCATCACCACTTTATGCTGTGCTCTTTGGTCACACACTGGGCTGTGCAATTACCATACGCAGTCAATCAACGAGAATTACCCTCTGCCGCTTCATCTACGATCTTTAAAGGCGGAAACCATTGTGGAGATCGCGTCTTCAAGATTCCGTTGTCTATCCACCACCCGATGATTCGAGATGAACATTGCGATGCTTCTTGCCATAGCAAGTACCTCTTTCATCACAGTCGAAGTTGCCAAACAGCATCCATCTGCCTGTGTGTTCACTACTCAAGAATGTGAATCGTACACGAGTGGAAGTCAATGAAATCGACAAAGCTGGACGGGTATTGTGTGGATCCGAATCATGAAGTGTCTCAATTTGACAAACAGTTCTTCGAAATGCACAAGTAGGAATATAGGCAGCTAAGCTATCAAATTTTTCAAAATGGCATCGAAGTGATAAGCTGCGAGTCTAATGGATTGGACTTAGGCCGTACAATGCCAGCACCTGACCAGTCCTTAGTTTAGGCACATTAATTAATCAAGACATTTATATCTTACCACTTTTCAAAGTCACATCCTATTTTTCTTAAAGTATAATAAAATATCAATCCGTTTGCTCATATCTTTGATTGAGAAGCATGAAGCGTCGCAAAGAGCACCGGACAGCAATCCTTGCCACCGCTAACTGCCATGAAGTCATAGTGTCATATAACTTGACGATAGCTGATGTAGCAACGATGTTGTTGCTCGCATTGGGAACTCTGTACTGTTATACAATGACGCTATACCCGTCAATCGCTGGGGGAGACAGTGGGGAACTTGTGGCCGAGTCCTGTCACTTAGGCATCTCACATCCTCCTGGTTATCCTCTTTTTAATATGGTCGTCTACCTCTTTACACAGCACTTACCATTTGGCAATACACCAGCGTGGCAAGCCAATTTTTTTTCAGCTGGTGCGTTTGTTCAGATATCAAGAAAGAATAGATTAAGCTCACAATTTACTCTGTCATACGATCAGTGTGTGATACAATAGCGGTTCTATTCATCTACTTGAGTCTCTTACATTGGATGGCACCTACACAGTGGACTGGACGGCGTGTAGCATCTGCCACTGCTGCTGTACGTCAACATTTTGTTTGACAATTTTTATGGAATCTTAAACAAGATGATTGTGTTGATATCATAGACATTATTTGGTTTTTCACCATTAATCTGGACTTATGCAGTAGGAGCTGAAGTTTTTGCATTGAACAATGCATTTACAGCTTTCTTGATATATTTGTTGCTTCGATACGAGCAACGTCAAGAGTTCAAGACAGCATTATTTGGAGCGTTTACTTGTGGTCTAGCAATGTGTAACCAGCACACAATTGTACTCTTTGAGCTACCAATAATTGCGTGGGTACTTTGGTCTAGAAAAAAAACATTGTGGTGGAAAGAGCTTGCGCAGCTTACTAGTATGTTTTTACTTGGTCTCACTCCTTATTTATACATGCCAATCACAGCTATTTGGAACTCTCAGCCAGGGTCATGGGGGGACGTTACAACGTTAAGTGGGTTTGTTCATCATATTCTTCGAGCAGATTATGGAACTTTTCGATTATATGCAAGCAATAAAACCAGTGAAGACATTTGGACACGGCTGTATTTATATGGAGTTGATCTTTCAGGTCGAGAAATTCCATTTCAGCTTGCATTTCCTTTCGTGACGCTTGGAATTCTTCAATCCCTTTGGGGTGCTGGTATGCGTTACCAACTTGGTCAATTCATGATAACTATGTATACCTTTTACATGATCGTTTTCCATTCGCTTGCTAATCTCCCGATCAATGAAGGTCTTCTTTACGGCGTTCAAATGCGTTTTTGGCAGCAACCAAACGTAATTGTATTTATCTGGTTTGGTATTGGATTGGGTTATACAATGGGATTGGTCACGCAAAATGCTGAAAAGTATTTCTATGTGATGAAGAATCTGATCTCAATTGTTCTTCAAGTCTCTTGTCTGACTCTTGTTGGGGCCCAAATATGGCGTTGGCACAAATTTTGCGATCATAGTCAAGCATTTTATGTTCAAAACTATGCGAAAGCTATACTGGATCCACTGCCATCAAATGCTGTACTTGTTGTAAATTATGATCTACAGTGGACATCCTTGCGATATCTGCAACGCTGTGAGCTCCGACGTCTTGATGTCACAATTCTAAACCTTTCAATGATGACATATAAATGGTTTAGTGCAAAACACGATCACTATCCAAATCTTCAAATTCCAGGATCAAAACTCGTTCCATTCGGATCAACGGTAAAGTCAATGTATATTTCATTTGCGCTTTTGAGAACTTATCATAAGTGTTTGTAGGATGATGGTTTCAGCATGGCTCAATTCTTAGATGCGAACATTCGTCCGACTGTGTATGAGCCCATACAAAAGCCACTACGCGTTTTCTTGGGTGGCAAGTTGAGCTATAACGATCAAGATTTTAATAAAAAGTATACTCTTGTGCCGTATGGGCTTGTAGACGAATTTCAAAGCCTGACGATTTCGTCCTTATCGCTGAAAACTTGGTACATGTCTCAACAGCAAGTCAAGACGATGATACGAAAACATTTACCAATACTTCCTCCTCAAGAGATATATAACGACGAAACGTGGGAATGGACTATTGTAAGTGTTGCTATGTTAAAGTGATACGACCTCACTAACTTTTGCTTTATTTACACGACAGGCTCGAGACCATGGAATGAAAGAGTTGAGCTGGGCTACGTACTTGCTGGAAAGGACAATTGCAGAGGACCCTAAGAATTTATCACTGTTTAGTGAGGCTGCCAAGCCTATGGAATTTTCGTACCAATTTGAGCCACAAGAGTTTTGGAACGCTGCGTCCAATTTGAAAAATTTGGGACTTGCATATGCTCAAATGATCAAATCTAGCCAAGAGTTTTCTACAACAAATCCGTTTTTCAATGACGTTGTTGGTTTGAACGTGGAGACTACAAGGTTCATGCGCTGATTCAACATATCTGCAAGAAGTTTAGTTGACGAGAATTGTTATGATGAATGACAGGTTGAAAGATCGAGCAATGGATAGAATGCTAGAAGTATGGAGTGCGTGGCTTCAAGTACCAGATGCCAAGCAAGACCCTGGGTATGAAGCAATTAACAGTATAGTTAGTAAGTTTGGAAAAGAAACAAATCGTTCTGATGTACAAAACAAAAAGAAGAAGTCGAAGAAGCGAGTCTCTCGAGGAAAAAGAAGGGCAAATGTTAAGCAACAGCAACAGAAAACAGCTTAAGACTTTGCCATTACACCGAAATTTCACGCAATTACATCTTGCGCTGCCATGTGAGAATAATGAAGATTGTCAGCAGAATGCATTTGATTTTAAATCAGGTTTTGAAAGTTCTGAAGGATGGTTTTGAATCGTCACGTCATGTCAGCATAAAGAAATGATCAAATTTGTAGCTTTTCTCCTCAGTCTACATTGTGCACAATCGTCTGGTAGCTAGTAGTTAATGTGTCGAATATACGCTGCTTCAGAGCTCATTATCAAATTCTACTACATTTACATCCTATTCCTCTCATGGGGTTTACTTCCAACCTGCACAATAGTTTTAAAACTGTTGTACTTTCACATTCGCATGGCAGGATGCTCGCTCCTATCGTAAATAAATAGCACATCCATCGATCAGCTTCCCGATAAATGTGTTAAAAATCGTCTTCTTGAAGAAAAAGCGAAGATTCCTTGGTTTCAGGATTTGATCTTCGAAGCTTCTTACATTATAAACTTGTGCAATCACGATTGAAACAATCAGTACATCATAAAGAGCTCATAGCTAGAATCTTGCTTGTACAATCCAAAACTTGCACTCCATGCGACGTGCACTGCAACTGAAAATTCCTTAAAATGAAGGTTATCGCTTCCAGATAATCACACTTTCGGCGCCTATTTCTTCTCAAAAGTCGACACTTCGTCCATCGTTTTGGGCGCGCTAATAATTTTTTGCAACTGATCTGCTAGACTCATAATTTGATCACGCTCCTTATCATTCTTACTTGCACTTTTCCGTCCTATTTCAGCCACCGTGACTTCGATTCTGGCCAAAAGATTGTAGTAGAAATCCACATCATTCCTTAGAGACAGTGCTTTAAGCTTCATACTAGAATTTTCCCACACTAATTCTTTCTCAAGACATCGTGCAATTTCCAGTTGGTGGTTCAAACCATTTGCAAGACCTGAGCATTCGTCATTCTTGGCTGCTTTTGATTCTTCTACGACATCGTCAGCGACAACGGTGCAAACGGCTGAATCATTATATTTTGAATGTATCGCATCATTTCTTTCACTTGATTTGATGTACTTGGTAGGTGGCAATTGCCCCTCGTCGTGAGTTTCTCGAACCTGGAGTAACCTCTTCTTTACATCCTGAGATCTCGAGATTTTGTGAGTCTCTCGAAGCCGCACTGACTTTGTCGGAGTACGAATCTTTGTAGGTGACTTTATACCAGTTGGTAGAACTGATAGAATCTTCGTGGGTGAGCTACATGCACGCAAAGTTGACGCTTGGAGCTCCATGGAACAATTAGGTTTTTGGCAATTAAGTAAAGTAACTCGAGAAATTATACCTGCATAAATTCTAATATAGAATTTTAAGTCTTCTCTAATGGGAATTTGACTATCTATCTAGCCACAAAGACTCGTTTAATGCTTTAACGTACGCTGCTTTTCAGCATGCACCACAATCTTTTCATCACGTGATAATCCTTTCCGCTTGCGCACAGTCTCAATGTATCGCCTTACAAAATTGTGTTCGTAGATGCGTTCGCCATAATCTTCCCGTTCTTCGTCAGTCTGAGGCTGAAAAAAAGGATCTACATCAATAACACTCCAGTGAGAAAAAAGCAGTTGTGGATTACTAGCGGCTCCGGACGTCTGTATCAAGACATCAGTTGCAAATCCAAAGCTCTCCACAACTGGCAGATAAGCTTTGACGGTAAAGAGTGCAGTTCCATCCGAGAGTTCCTCGGAATAAATATCCCCACGTCGCTTTGAGATGACACTGTAGAGCTTCCCAAGCTGCTCAGCCTGACATTGTACGGTACAATCGTACACGGCTTCGACCAACCGAACTGGTTGCTTTAAAAACGCCATCAAGCAAGTTGATCGCATCGTTGAAATTACCTGCCCGCTAAGTGGTCCATATTTACTCATCACAGCCTGTCCCTCTACTGACTTGTTCTCGTCACTTTCAATTGCGTGAAAAATGATATCGTCAATGACAAAAGCTACTCCCCATACGGGCTCGCTGCACAAGGGACCAGCCGATGTTGCCATTTGAAAACCTGTCACAATACTGTTCTCCAACTTCCGTATTTGCTCTGCCTTCACCGAGTCATGAATTTCTGACGCTGCGTGATGCGGAAACAAGCACTTAGAGGGAAAAAAATCCGGGATATTGTTGACCAGTATGTTTGGACCTACTCTTCGAGGACCAAAGCTCCAAATCTGGTGCAACGAAATCGATCTCAAAAAGCTGTTATCACTTGATTTAAGTGTTTTCGTGAGATTTTCTTGAAATGTGCGTATACTATCGGAAGCAGTTTCGACTTCGAAAGGAATTTCTGGGGCACCACTTTCATCTACACCTTTATTGCTGAATGCAAGGTACTTTAATACTGGCGCATTCTTTTCCAAAAGTCTCGCTGTCTCCAGAGGTAACGGAAATGCTCGCAGCTTTAATATTACCGTTCCGTCGGGAGTTGTCTCCACCGCGGTCTTAGAAGCTTGTTTTATACCAGAAACTTTGGGTTCGGCGTTGTCTAACGAATCTGGACTAAATTCCCTCATAACTATATTGTCCTGAATCGAGGAAGTTATCCCCTCAACAATACTCTCGTTGAAACCAACTAGTGGTTCTGATATTTGAAGTGCAACTTTAGCATACCGTTCCTTCAAGTCCTTCATACATCGTTCAAGGTGAAGCTCACCCAGTGCTACAATCACATGCTCTCCTGTCTCTTGAACATGAACTTCGACGGTTGGATCCGAACGATAAAGTCGCTGTAGACCTGCTTCCAGTGCTTCAAAATTGCGCGGATCTTCAGGCTCCACCGCCACACGTACAATCGGCTTCGCTTGGTATGGCATCTGTGTCAAAGATGGACAAGACAAGGAAGATGATAGTGTAGCCGTCTTCAGCACATGTTCTTGTAGACCAACTATTCCAACAATATTACCTGCAGGCACCCGGTCTAGCTTGTGCAAATCGCGGCCCATCATCATGTACAACTTGATGAAACCACTTTCAATGCGCTCAACGTGTTTAAAGTTCTTCAAATCAATTGTATCTGGATTCACGTCTCCAGACAAGCCCTGAAACTTTGGATTCATCACGTACAAAGGTTGGCCTTCTCGAAGCATGCCAGAGAAGACACGTCCAACCCCAACATAAACTTCGTCGGTAGCAGCAAGTCCTGATTGATGGTAATCGGATAAAAGACTTGCTTCTACTGAAATCATTTTGCAAATATATACAACCAAAGGCGCGCCTTCTGAAGTGTTACAAAGTTGCAGCGATCGATATATCTGAGCTTGCTGAGGTGAGCGATTTAACTGCTCCGGCGAAAAAGTGCATAACTTTTCGACTCGCTTGGCTTGAGCTATCACGGGATTCGGTAAAATGCGGGTGACCATTTTCAACACAGTAGTCGCCAATGGCAACCACTTCCGTATGATGACTTGAGTTGCATTCTTTCGATCCGTTTGCTTTAAATCCCGATCTGTTACTAACTTTGCAATACGAAGCTGTCGTGTCAATTTGCGAAGGGTTTCCAAGTCATGATCAGACTGAACAGGTTTTGCTATCGTTGTGTATGTTGACCATATCAAGTCGAGAATAAACGAGCAAAACATCGTTTGGCTATTTGATGTTGGTGGCTTCCGCACAATTTTCATCGTTTTGCTATTATAATAAAATTCTCCCCATAATGCTTGGCGCAAAACACGTGTAGGTAAGTTCATTTTCTTAGCGTATAAAGACGCAAAGTATCCAATACCAAATGCCCATCCGTCAGTTGCACTCCCAAAAATGACATTACCGTTTGATGGCGAGAAAAGCACTTCATTTTCAAGCTGTTCCATTTCAGTAGAAACCACTTCGTCAGTATCAATCGATTCCATCCGTTTGTCTCTTTCGTCCATTTTGGCACTTTGATTCGAAGCTTCTCGATCATATCTCTCCAACACATCCATTCTGATCATGGAACTAAGTACAGCATTTGCCTGTTCTAAAATACGATTAAGTTTTTGATATGCCTCCATGGGTGAAAACTGTAGTTCAGAAATAAGTCGATCCATTTTATTAATCATAAGACACGGTCGAATTCCCTCTTTCCAAGCTTGACGTATTACTGCATGAGTTTGAGCACATACTCCTTCCACTGCGTCAACAATTATTAAAGCTCCATCACAGAGCCGAACTGCGGTAGATACGTCAAACGAAAAATCCACGTGACCTGGCGAATCAACGAGATTAATAAGAAATGGCGCTTCGGGTTCCTTATCAGCTACAGGATCAGGTTGATAGACCAATGATATAGCACTGGACTTCATAGTAATACCACGTATTTGTTCTTCTTCTGTATTGTCGAGATATCGCACCTAGAAAATCATTGCAACATCCATATGGGTACGTTTAATGGGTTACAAGATCTACTTCCAAAGGTTACCTTGCCTGCGAGTCGCTCCGAGATGATACCATTGGATGACACAAGGCTGTCACTTAGTGTCGTCTTGCCATGGTCAACATGCGCTAGGATACAGATGTTTCGAATGCGTTCGGGTGTATGCTGCAGCGTACCAAGTAATTCTGACGTTATGCGCGTCGTCATAAGTGAATTGTGAATGGTGTGGTTTACATTGAGTTTGGAGATAAGATATAAATGTCTTATTGATACATGTGCCTTACACTAGCGGAAATGCAAGTCCTTCATTGCATGTAAGTAATCGAAAAGATCATAGTCCGCTTGAAGAATGTAACTACTAATACAGACCTTGGCTCGGTATCAACTGATGCTGCACAATGATCGTTAGCAACAAGGTTCATAAATGTTTGAGTTTCACGTATAAAAACTATTTAACGCCGAACAGGATAACGCAGCGCAAATTCTCTACTACAACGTATCAAAGCAGGCACACCACTCAAACAGAACGAAAATGTTTTTATCTTACAACACCATGAGTAACCGACTACTTAATAAGTAATGATGCTTACCGCATAGGACACTTGCTGTGTTGAAAAAAACGCGGCACCATAATACCGCTTCCAGTCCATTTGGATTCGAAAGTGGTATCCTAGAAGGCTTGCTTTGATGTAATTACATCAGAGATAAATCACATCATCTGCGTCTGTGTAGGCTCTGCATAATGTACGACTTAAGAGAAAATCTCATTGAAGAAGAATGGAGATGTAAACGATAAGCGGATTGCGATAGATCTGCGGTATATAGGAAAATACTTTCTGTGAATCATGAAAGACAAGACGTGAAGGCAATAATGTGAGAGAGAGGATTAAAATTCATTTACGTCAAAGAAAAGCACAAGAAAGAGCTACGTCAAGGATGATTTAACGAAAAATATTAGTGCAATTTATCCCAAGCGTTCTTCTTATAACGATGTGGCCATCTCATGACGATTACATTTCTGAAATCCTGTGTTCTTAACCACCTGTCCCAAATTGCGCCTTCTTTGTAATTTCAGCAGCAACTCTTGCTTGCGCTATCTCCACAGCACTACGGGCACGAGCTTGTTCCATTCCTTCGACGTTTACTAATCGAAGTGGCGTGGTGTTTGGCCTTCGAATAGTAGGAACTTG